ATCTCTCATTATTGTCAAATTTCCAAATCTTTTGCAGGAATATTTTGGCCTAGCAGAGTTAATTATGACTTTAATTATGCAAGCGACTTATTAAAGTCGCACAGTGCCCAGCATACGTCAGTACACCCCCTATTAAAAGTATGTATTACTCAATATCTAGATGAGCAAAAGTACAGTTTCCAAAGTTTTGACAAAGTTAAGTTTAACATAACATTTTATTTACCATAAGATGAAAATAAAGTTGATGTAGTAACTAAAATTTAGCTTTGCTCCCAGAACTTTGATTGGAGTGTGCTCATTTTAGCATCCTGATTTTGAATTGAAAAAAATAGTTTTTGTAAGCAACTTAAAAAAATATTCTTTGCAATCAATAGCCTACATTTGGGGTAGTATTTTGATGTATAGTCCAACATAGAAAATGTTGATTTTGAAAGGAAACTAAAGGTTTTCTATCAACTCTCAAGGGGTGTACGCATTTATGCTGAGCACTGTACGTTTGTGTTGGCAACTATCAGCTGTGCTAGTTAGAGTTTTATGGTTTTATGTGCTAACTTGAGATGACACTTTTTCAGCTTTGACTAATCTGGATCGAATATAAAACACAGATGATGAGTTAAAAAGTGATAAATCATTACACGAATCCATGATCTCTTACAGTATAAGCAGAGGAAAAGAGGCATATTTTCAATTCAACAAAAACTGTGTAACTGATGCAACCCCAGATGAAAGCAGTGACTCTGTTTTGAAGCACGCTCTCCGCTCTGGAGTGTTTATGATGCCTCTCCATTCAGCTGATGACACTCGATACAGCCAAACAATGATGTAATTAAAAAAATCTAAAGAGCCGCCACTGCGACAGCAGAGGAATACATTTACATATTATGCAATCGCTCTTCACAAGGTTAAAACACTCTAAACTATTTCACATTGATACAAACCTCTAAAAACTCTCTCTGATATTTTATCCTACATGACAAACAGATACAAGCTTCTAAGTAATAGTGTCTCAATCGGCAACAAGTTCTGTAAAACAGCTCTCAAGCAGACTCTGATGGGGTTCATATGCATAACTCAACGTGTCCATGTGGATGTTTACTTGATGCCTATCTCTGTAACGCATTTTAAATATATGTATAATCACGTTGTAGCACCAGAAAAGAGTGTCTTGGCAATAAATGAATTATTTACACTCATAAATGATCATAATGCGCTATAGCAATAATCATAAAACAGTATAAAACATTTTATCATGACTCACAAGGTCAGGTATTATAATGTGTTATGCTTATTGTTATAAGGCCTTATGGTAATTAATGAGCGTTTATAATGATAGTTACACAAGTTTATACGCAAATTATGACACATCATAAATATATGTATAATGCATTATCTATGTGGGCATTGTCAGTGAGTTGTTCACAGTTATAACACATTAAAATACCTGACCTTGTAAGCCATGATAAAATGCTTTATACTGTGTTATGATTATTGCTATCAAGCATTATGATCATTTATGGGTGTTTATAACTATAGTTATACAGTCCTATAATGTGATTATAACACATTATTAATGTATTTGTAATGCGTTATGAAGATAGGCATCAAATGAAGTGTTACTGAAAATCGAAATTGAACAATGACAGGAAGCTCACAGAGATCTTTTAGATTATATCTTCTTCACATGTCGACAGAATCTGTACAATCAACATCAACCTGTTGACAAAATGACAAAAAAGAAAATTTCTCTGCATCAGACAGACACACCAACTGACCCCCATCGTCTCTCAGTGGGTGTCTCCTCGTCTCTGTCAGCCTCTGTCTTCAGGCACAGATCCATGAACAGGCCCCCCGACATGCTCAACCAAGCATTCACATTTCGCTTTACATGAAAAACACACTCACACACTCAATACACACACATGCACACACACACAAAATACTGACTTTTCATCCAACTGACAAGCTGTCTGCCGCGCTTCATCCCTAAAAATACCTGTCAAGTCAAGTCAATCTCTCTCCCCTTTTGTAACCCTCCAACACACACACACACATGCATGCATACACCCACTGCGCACACACACAAACTCCATGCTGTGATAGTGGCAGGATGCTGAGTTGGTGAGCTGGGGGAACTCTCCCCTCAATTATCCCTGAGGATACTGAGATAAGTGTGTATTTGAGAGTGTGGGAGTGTGACTGTGACTGTGTGCATGCTTATGATGACTTCCTGCCTCTCACTCCTAGATCATTAGATAAGCACTAGGTAGTAAGAGATCCCTGTAGAGAGGCAGAAAGGAGGTAAACTAGAGGTAAAAGCTAAAGTTTTGTCTGACTGAGATGAGTTCATTTGAAGACAAGAAACTGCTACAGGACTTCTCCTTGGTATTGGTACCAACATGCGTTTTGGTTGACAATAGCTGTGGGCTGTATAGACAGTTTGTCCGACTTTACAAGAGAAAAAAAAAAACCTCAGGCTCTTTAGTATCTTTCAATCTGCAGCCTTCCCCCACACAGCTGAAGAGTAATCGTGCCACTGAGTGTGTATCTGCCTGTCACAGTGCTGCGATAAGAGGCTGATACAGGGAAAAGCCTGAGGAGATGCTACATTAATACTACCTCTGATTAGCAGTGCAGCGAGGGAGGGCTTCTCTGTTGTGTTTGGACGTGAGGTGGGGGTGGATACCGCCAAACGAAAATGCATCATAGGCAACAGACTGCATATAAAACTTACTCCTGTGAGTAACCAAGCTGTTCATGGCCACACGTGCATCCATAAATTCATCCATCTGTCTTATAGGACAAACTTAACACAGGAGCGAGGACATGCACTTATAAAACCGTTATTTTGTCATCTAAACTGTCTCTCTGTCCCATACACTCATGCGACCACTTTTGAGGGGTTTCCATACCATGGGACATAGGGGAGAGTGGGGTAAGATGAGCCATTTTTCATATTCCGGATCACTACATGAAGGCAATCCTAGTTTTGTCTCTAACTAGTGTATCTGCAAGATGTTGTGCATCCCTGCAAACCAACAGAATGAGTGTAAACATAACTGTCTTGATAATATAGCAGGACAAAAAAGACAATGTTTTCCCTCCAGCATGTTTAGGGTCTTTTACCTGTTAGACCTGCCCTGAAAACCAAGAGGAAGGGAAGAGTCTTGAAAGCATCCTTATTAGATACCTGAACCACCTGAACCGGCACCTTTGATGTGAAGGAGTAGCTGCTTTACTCTGAGCTTCCTCCGGATGTCTGAGCTCTGGACCTTATCTCTAAGGCCGAGTCCAGCTGGCATTCAGAGGAAACTCATTTCAGCTGGTCAGAACCCATAGGTTGGTGAGAGTTTGAACGTAGATCGATTAGTGAATAGAAAGTTAGTTATTGGTAGTAGTCCAGACGATCCTTCTCCTTGCTGCATGGTAATTTCAAAGAGATCAAAAGTCTTTGTATAATGAAGATAAAAAACTCTTTACAACCCTCAGCATTCTGTGTTTTCAAGAACATTATTTCCTGAGGCACAATTTTGCAGTCTTATGACATCTCTCACTGATTTCCATAATGAGCTGTCAACTGTCAGGTGTGTGTGTGTGTGTGTGTGTGTGTGTGTGTGTGTGTGTGTGTGTGTGTGTGTGTGTGTGTGTGTGTGTGTGTGTGTGTGTGTGTGTGTGTGTGTGTGTGTGTGTGTGTGTGCCTGTTAGCAGGAGTGTGTGAATGTGCTTTTGTTTTAACATTTCAATGTGGGCTTATGTAAAACATGCATTTATTGTGCGTGTGTGGGTGGAAAATGACTCTCTAAAAGCTGAAAGTAAGTGGACTGATGGATTTGCTTGTCCTGTATTTCTTGTTCCAGGAACAACCTCCGCCTCCAAACCTCAGGAAAGTAAGGTAAAAGCACATCTGGTTGTCTTATCCTTATCTCCACTCCTTTTGGTAACTCTGTGAAAACTTGGTCGATTTGCATCGAGGCCTAATCTTACCGCCCTCTGAGGAGCAGTTTGAGCCACAGTGTGAGAGATAATGTAATGATCATTATTGCTTCAGCGATAGTGCAGCTGTATGTCCTGGGTACAAAGATAATATCCTCATGAATTGCGTTGTGCAATGAGGCACAAGGGTATGCATGTGTCTGCAAACACACATCATGAAGCCTCCTTTTCTTTCCTCATTATGTCACACTCTTTCTCTCAAGCATGCAGAGACTCTCTGTGGTTCTCTTAAGCCTTATTATAGTCGATTTCTTTTCTTTCCTCCACACCTGTGGTCTGGGTCAGACCCAATCTACAGCATGGGACCTTTCTTCGTGTAATAAGGAACCTGGGCCCAGCTTATCGCCGCATCTGTCCCCACACTATGACATTTACCACCATGTGGTTCAGGCTCATTTTATTTCGCTGAAGGGCTAAGCCATCTTTGATGCGGATGGAGGACATTGTTAAGCAGATGGGGTTAGTATTTGGAATGACAGGTACAGGGGTTTTTTAATGTTCGGACATCATGATGCTGTCTTCATGCAGCCGCGCTTGTGTAAAGATTTTATTAGCGTCATCGTTTCACCTCCACAGCTTTACCATCCCTGTGTTTCTGCAGGAGGAGCTATTAGAGCAGACATTAATTAGTGTCAGTCCGAGTTAACATGGGGGGGTTCTCAGGCAGTTCTTGGCTAGTCTCCAAAACTAGAGTAAAAACACCAAACACACATGAACACATAAACATTCACACACTTACTCATTATTATATTTTGTTATTTACTTTGAGCATACTAACAACCAAATCAAGTGTCCAAGTTTTTGTTGTGTTTTGTTTTGCTGACATTTTAAGGAATACTTTAACCCTCCTCCTGTGTTGGGGTCTGCACCGACCCGTTTTTAATATAACATGTAAAAATACTAATTCAGACCGAAAAGAAACACTTGAAATGCTTGAAATCCAGCCACACACCAGGCACATTCAGAAAACGTTGAAGGACTGGTCTTTACCATAAACTTTAACAACCAGCCTCTGTTGATCTCTGTCCATGGTGCTGAAATCTTGCTGCCTGAGTATTACAAAAATGTCTGATTGGAAAAAAGTCAAAAAGAAATGACGCAGCCTCGACAAACATTTTCTCAGTGTTAGTAACTAGTTTCTAGTCCTCTTCATTTCAGGCACTTTGTGAATTAAGGCTCTGTTTGAACTCTAAGTGAAGCTAGAGTAGGGCACATTCTCAAACATGGCGTCTTACGGCTGACAAGTCACTTGCCTTTTTAATCTTTCATTGTGAAGCACTTTGTGACCCCTGTTCTTGAGAGGTGCTATGTAAATAAACTTAACTTACTCACTCACTTTACTAGCTGCCTGAAAAGGACATGGCAAATACCCAAACAGTTGACTTGAAGAGTGATTGTTGGGGGGTGCCAAAATGTTGCGTTGCACACATTTTTAATGAATTTTTATTCATAAAGCGCCCTATCTGAAGACGCTTTCCAAAAGAGCAGGTCTTGGGAAATCCCTACAAGTACAGGATAGGGAATCAGTATTTTTATGTTAGGAAACTCCAGTTTTACATCACTCTAGAATAACATGACCTTCATATTTAAGTACCATTCTTTAAAATGTTCATATGGTAGCAGTAAAGTTGTCCTGTTTTATTTGAGGAGATGTTTCATTTATTTCAGTTGTTTAGGAAACATTTCTTGATTTATTTTGCCGTTTTCTTGTCTCTTGTATAAAAGTTTGCATCTGGGTCCCCTTTCCCTCATCAAACTGCAACTGGTACTGTTTTTGTATGTAGTTCAGATATCTAAGTCTTTCTTTATGATATGAAAACTGCATCTGGGTCCACTTTTCTAAATTAAGCTGTACCTGGTACTGTTTTTATATTTAGTTCAGATATAAATAGTATGTTTGCATCTTGGTCTTCTTCCTGTCTTGAGTCTGTCTGCCCTTTTCTGTTTTCAGTCCTGTTTTAATACAAGGTCTGTATTGGGGTTCTTCTTTGTGTTTAGTCCAGATACAGTATGAATCTACCTTCATAACATGAGGTCTGCATGAGGATCTTCTTCACCGTATTAAGTCTGCATACAGGTACTACTATTTTGTATGTAGTCCAGATTAAAGTCCTTCTTTTTGGTAGGAGGTCTGCATTCGGGTCCTTCTTGTATTTAGTCCAGATTTAAGCCCCCTTACTTGGTGTGAAAACTGTATCTGATTCCTTTTCTGTGTCTTGGTCCTCTCAGTCGTTAATTAAATCCTAATTTGATAAAGAGAAACCACATTTTAAAGAGGACAAAGCCAATTATAAGAATGTCTTAGATATACAAGAAAACAAAATCATGCATATTTGATGCAAAGTGTGAACATCCCTGACAATCGAAAATCAAGATTTGCCTTTCATTATAAGGGGATATTGAATAATTTAACTCCTGCCCTTCTCAGTCTGATAGCATATCTCTGTGCTGCTGCTGCTGCTGCTGCTCAGCCTTCACTCTGGGCCTGTGATTAAAATAAGACCGAATGCCTGTAGTAACCTTGGAAAATAATTGGGTTATTTTTCAGTGTGTGCGAAAGAAAGTGAATTGTAATAATCTATTTCACGCAACCCCATCCCCCCACCCCCATCCCCATTTATTTTCACTCCCTTTAGTTTCATCAAGAAATAACATCCACTCACTGGCAGAAATTTGCACTGAGAAGTAATGTCCTCTCAAAAACTATCCTTAAGCACTGGGAGATTTGATACCTCCATAAAAGCAGAGTATTTTATGTGAATTCATCCACTCTGTTTCAGTGAGGTGACAAAATAAACCAGCTCTTCTCTTGGCTCTGGGCCTGTCCTGGAAGTCGTTTAGCATGCTGTCTGTAGCCCGAGTACAAGTCTAGAAACCGTGTTGTGTTTGTCTCTTGGGCCGCTGTCTCTGCCCCTTCACTTGGCAGCGGTGGACTGGGTGGGGTTTAGCTGCCACCGTGGAGCACCGGGCATGCTCCTGGCTGCTATTAGAGTTCAGTGTTCCAGCGAGCGGGCATGAGGAGAATGGACACAGAATAATGTATGAAGGGCTTCAGAGCCGCCGCGGGTTAAAGTGCTGCAGAGTGTGGCTGACTGACTGACTGAGAGCGTTTGGGTATGTGTGTGTGTGTGTGTCTATGTGTAGGTTTGAGGTGGGCATAATAAATTCACACAGACGGGATTTCAAATGGCAAAGTCTTTTTATTTTTTAAAAAGAAGAGAGTGGGTGGTCCATCTCAGACTGTCATGCATTTCTTTTTTCATTTTCAGAAGGCTTCACAGATAGCACAGCTTGCAATTTAGATGAACAGATTTTGAGTCCATTTGAAAGAGCGTGCGTTTGTTTTTATAATTGTCCCCCTCTTGAAATTTCAATTTAAATTATGTTTGAGCAAAGCACTTTCTAATCTTAATGGATTTTTTTTGTCTTAAAGCGTTTATTTCATCAATTTCAGGGAGCCTCAAAGAAAGCTTGGTCTTTAGATGAACCGATTTGGGTTCTTTCAGACAAAATGCACTTTTAGGTCTTGACGTAAATTTCCTCTCATTTGTTTTTTTTATTCAGTCACTATTTTATGGTCATCCTCAGTCAGTTTGATCAATTCTAGGATTTTCTATAGTCGCAGTAACAAATAAGTCGTATATAACAGCAGATGTTGTATCCTTTAAACAATCTGCATGGTTTTCATGTTCACTTGTGCATGCTACCTTCTATCATCCTCCTCTCAGTTTACGATCTGTAACACTCCCCTGTGCTCTCCAATATTCCTTAATTAGCCCCATTATTTAACTGTCTGGGGTAATTATGGATGTGATTGGCTGTAATCAAATCCCTGTGGATGTGTCACACTCCACAGTAAACACTATAGGTAGGCTACTCGCAGGTTAATTCACAGAAAATGAAACCCGAAGACTCAAATCTTCACAAAAGATCTTCACACAAGCTCACACACAGAGACAGAAGGAGTCTGATGTATGAATATTGTACAAACGGAGAACCTCAATGCAGAGAGGCGGTATGTGGCTCAGTGTTAATGAGATTGATGAAGCAATAAGAATCAATTATGAGAAAATGATATGTAAATAAACACTTTCAGAATATAGGCTGTGAGGCCCTGTGTTTGTGAAGGAGAAATTACCCACGCTGCATCTGTTTGAAAAAACTGCATCTGTACCCGAAGAAAAGTTCAGAAGATCTGGAATTCCATTTTATTGTTTTGTTTGTAACATAGACTGTATATAGAATGGACGCCATCTGCCTCCTCGATGGGTGAAGCCACTCCGAAAACAGCACCCTCTGGTGACGGGCTGCTGTATAGGTCATAAATCCCGCCTCCTCCAGCAATCCCTATGGAGCTGTGGACAAATTTATAGAATATAAATTATGAAGATTGTGTAGCTCACCCAGGGAATACGCTGTTTGAGCCGAGCATCGTCATGGTGGCTCTCAGCAACTCTCCCGCCGAATGCGCACAATGCTTCTGTGCAATTGATGGAGTGCATACAACGCTACTGTGCGATGTCGATTTCAGGAAGTGGAGAAAAATCGTGGAAATTCAAATCTGTATACTGGTGGAAGGCGGTAGTCCACAGAATATGCAAGTTGTCCAAAGTATATGCAGTCCATGGTTTGTAACAGCGATTATTTAGAATATCTCTTTTATGTTAAAGCTCCTGTGAGGAATTTATAATTTGTGTTGATTTTGGCGCCCCCTGTGGACAAAGTTATCTTTGCTCAGATTGTTCTTGACATGCTTAAGTAGTGTTTATGACAAAAAAATGACGAGATACAAATGACCACATTGCCTCTGATGGTCTTGTTTGCTTTTGGATGCCAAGTAAAGGCATCATTACATATTTAATTCTGCTTCAAAAAAATATGTTTATCTTATTTGACCATGAGAACATTTTGAACATTTTCCACTCAGAGGAGAAAATCAGTTTTTGACTGCAGAAGACGCTTGTTCCTGCAGGAGTTAGGTGTGGATTTGATGAACACTGTGGAGCTCTTTATGAGAAATGAATGGTGTGATTATTCAACTGGCACAGCTAACATTGATTCATTAATCAGGATAAGTCTCAGCTAGTCAATTAGATTATCCAGGTGCTGCATCTCAGTGGCTTATAGCTTCGGTTCTGCCTCCATAATCATTCACTTCTCATTAAAACTGAAAGTTGGGCTACACGGATCATCCGGTATACCAGTTGGACCAGTAAACCAATAAAAAGTGCAGAATGAGGTCATATTAACCAAAACTTAAATAAGTCGTGTGTAGTGCTGCTTTGATTGACAGGACTCCATTATTTAAGACATGAAGAAACCAGCAGGGATGTGCCACACAAGTCTCGGAGGACTAACATAGATTGCTTGTAGGATTGCAGGGAGTTCCACATGGCAAAAACAGAAGATACAACACAGACATTGTTGAGGACTACATTGAACCCAAGGAAGTTGCGACACAGAAACACACAGTCTGGAAACACAGCTTTGTTGCTAGTTGAGCGGCGCAAAATCTGAGCGCTTAGAGAGGCTCAGGCTGCAAAGAAGATGAATTAAATCCTTTGATTATTCATAGACGGGTTTTGGGCGTAACATGAATCAAACCAATCATACATAAGTGGACAGGATCTAACATTTCACACTCTTAGGTAGGCTTTTCTTGACTTGTTTTTGCTGGTGGATTGCACAGCTGTATTTTGAACTGTGAGCAAAATACAGAGTGTTCGGTCTCAATCAATATCAGGGGGCACAGAGGTCAGTGGCACCAAAAGTCACGTTTAAGGACTGTAAACAACATCCCCAGCTTGGTGTGTGTTAAACTAAACAGCCTTCCTTCAGGACATTTTCAACATAAAATAAAAAGTAAAACTATGAAAGCCCCCAGACAACATTATGTAGAACAAGTTCTTCTTAAACTTGGTGCTTGTAAGACAAGCTACTTGAGCTTGTAAACCACCTCCCTGACATTAATCCTGTTTGCAGGATCCACAGCTCAACAACAGCCTTCTAATGTGCTTGAGGTCGCTCTTCACTCGGTGTTTTATCTCACCGCTAAAAATAATCCTCCCCTGCTCTCTTAAAACACTACAAGTGAAGTTTCCTGAAGTCTGGCCGAGTTTTCCCTGAAAGAAAATGTTCACAGAGAAGCTTTTACAGTGGGGGTATTTTTAGGGGGAGGCAGAGGTAGAGGCAGCTCTTTTCCACACCAGAAATATCTGTAAGGTGTTTTTAGGTGGCGGTGCAGTCGCTGTAATTGCAGTAATTGCTGCTGCCAGTGAATCTTCAGACTTACAGACAGCATTAATGGAGGGATGCTTATTTTCTCTGTCAGCCTTCAGTGGTTTAACGTAATGATTTTAAAAGAGATCTCTTAATTGCTGCAGGGTTACAGGTATTGTGATGGATTGAAGCATTTATTGCTTTAACATTTTATATGTCAGAGTCAAGAACTGTTTTATCCTCGCCAGACCTCCATCTAGGTCTTCAGGGAAAGCTTTGTGAGTTTCTATTAGAGCGGCTTTCAGAGATACGAGTGAAAAGCACATTATTTTAAGAATTTGTTCCTCAATTGGCCAATTAGAGACCACCTTTTAGCTTCACATGGCTTTGTGAACGCGGCCCCTGTTCATGATTATTTCATGCGCTCTTATTTGGACTCATGAATTAAGCATGAGATGTCATAAGTCTGAGAGTTTGGCACTGTGAGCGACCTTTGTGTGTGCGTAAGAGGGAGGCAGTAAGTGGGTTCATGTGAGTCTACTCTGTGTCCCCGTGTGCTGAAGGAAGTTGGCGAGACAAGTGAAGAGACAGATTTGGGGCCGTCTGCGCTGAGGGGGATATTCTTATAGATGTCAGACGGGACGGCAGGGAGCCGGTGTTTAAACAGCAGCGCTCCAAGCCTCGTGGTTACATTTCGAAGTCTCAAAAAACACCATTAAACGCACAAGAGGCCACGCACGTGTTAACAGAGCCTTACAGACGTGTGTGTGTTTAATAATGTAACAGCTCCCCCCTCTTTCCTCTTTTGTGTTTCACAGATTAGGCAAAGTTCCAGGGAGTGCAGTCACGAAACCGCACTGTGCTGCACATGCATGGACGACAGCGTAACACACACACACACAAACACACACCTATCTTACTTCATGTATGCATATTTTATATCTGAAATGGGTTAAGTTGCTTTTAGAAGTTTTAATCAGCAGTACCAGTGATGAAATGGAGTAACATAGTGAACACACCCCTTACGATTCATAATGCATCTACTGTAGATGCGAAAAAAACACAAAAGAACTTTGGATAAGGCTGCAAAAGTTGGCAATAAAGTGGATTAAATATCAATACTAGATTGAAAAGATTAAACAATAAACGCATGAACTGGGAGGATTGCAAAATCTGAACATTTCGATCACTTCTTACTGAGTTGTTAGGAGTTTGTGGTGATCAGTGACTGAAGCCAAAACTCCAGATGCTTGAATTTTGTTGCTTGGATAAGAGATCAGTCAAACCGCTCATGTTGTAAGGGTTTGAAAGTGTTTACAGCAGCTGTTGAACATTGTGTTTGGCATCCACGCATTAACCTCATCACTCCTCGCAAACATTACACACTCTTTACAAACACTGCTTGTTTTGTGTGCAGACATTTGAGGAGAGATGAGGTAATATCTTAAACTCCCTCATCAGCGGGGTTGGGCTAAGTGCGAGTACAACAACTGGTGTGGTGGCAGTGACAGAGTAGGAGGAGAGACGGAGATTTGCAGCTGAAAGAGACTGCCAAATTAAAAGGATGTGTTTGTCAGGTGATTGAGAGATTGAGCTCCAGTTGGCTGCCTGAACCAGCCAGCAGGCACGACTTCTTTTAGTCTGAGCTCCCGTGATCAACCATGTTGAAATCTGTCATCCTCCGTAAAATGAACCTACAACTGCACATGGTGGTGTTTATCACAGTACTTTTGTCTTTCAGTAAATGTAAATGGTTTTCTCAAATGTGCACATTTCTGGTTTTTGATTTGATTTTTAAAGCTCAAGGGATTGATTCACGATACGATAGATCCAATATGATGGATCCGATATGATACAAACAATACGATATGATGAATCCGATCCAGTACAAACAATACGATACGATACGATAGATCCGAACAGATCCGTTACAATAGATCCGATACAATAAGATACAATAGATATGATCCAATACGATAGATCGGATATGATACAATATAATACGATATGATCGATAGATACAATACGATAGATCCAATACAATATGAAAGATATGATACAACACGATACGATAGATCAGATACGATACACTAAGACATGATAGATCCGATATGATACAATACAATACGATACAATAGATCTGATACAATTCAATATGACATGATACGATAGATCTGATATAATCCGATCCGATCTGATAGATCCGATCTGTTACAATACGATACGATAGATCTTATACAATACGGTACAGATCTGATACGATACAATATAATACAATACGATATATCTGATACGATACAATACAACAGATCCAATACAATATGATAGATACGATACAACACGATACGATAGATCCGATACGATACACTACGATATGATAGATCCGATGAGATACCATAGATACAGTATGAAAGATACGATACAATAGGATACAATAGGATACAACACAATACGGTACGATACAATATGATACTTGTGAACACAGACTTATAAAGTACTAACAAGGCACTATGATCCACATTATAAATCGTCATTTTTGGTAGAAAATAAAGTCGATCTTCTGAATTGAAAAAAGTTATGATCGGAGTTAATAAGTTGTGTAACGTTACCTGTAGGTGTTAACCAAGAGATCTAAAGCACTGTTGTCATATTATTGATTTCGGTCTTGAGTATTTTAACTGAATAGCTGAGCTTATCAATTTATAAGCAAGATGTAGTTAGACTTCTCTGTAGCTCCATGGTCCAGTGTTTCCATCCTGAGATAGGGATGAGTTCCCAGACCAACTTTTGAACTAACCACCATCAAAAGTGTTAAAAAACAACCTTGAGCACAGATCTACTGCTGCCCACTCACGTGGAGCTCTCAGTTGGAACTAACTGCTGTTGCCGACCTTCGTACACCTACACAAGCAACTGCCAGCTATCCTTCTCCTCGAAACATACACTTTATAGGGAATGAATTTGCTTAAAATGTGCCAGGAACTGTTTTGTCAGTCATTCTCCAACCTTAAGCGTGACATGGGGTTCACTTTTTGTGATGTCTGATCGTACCAAAGTGGAAGAAAAAAGAAGAGTTTTTGGTTTCTGTCCTAAAGTTTTTAAGTATTTGTCTTAGTTTCTCTGTCTTCTTTTCACTTTTACCTTCTAGGTTTTGTCACAAATTTGTGTTTTGCTATTCCTTATGCTTTAAAAAAACCCTCTAATTTTATGTTTTATAACTTTAGCTCCTATTTCTTCCACTTATCTAATAGACTACTGGGTTTCAGCGGCAATAAGCTCTCCATGTAGCCCAGGGGTCCTCTCCTGAGCAACATTTCCCAGCGCCTCCTGAGGGACATTGAGTGTTCCCAGGCCAGATTGGGTATCTAATCCCTCTGGTGAGCTCCAGGTCTACCCCAGGGTTTTCTCACTGATTGACATGCCTAGAAAACCTCAAAAGAGAATCAATTATTTCTATTTTTCATCAACGGTGCAACCTTTTGAGTCTGGGGGTGCCACCAGGGACTTTGGGCCCCATGAAAAATATCATATACTGTATATTCTGATACTTTTTTGAGCCATGAGTGTGCACTGTAAAATAAAAAGGATACTATTAGTGTTCACTGACTGTGAAGCCAAAGGATTTAGAGCTCCCCCTGCTGGTTGGCTGCAGTAAAGGTCATAAACAATGTCTGCATTACATGAACAGATGTGACATTGATGATTTATGTCCAAGTATCAATTTTACTTGTAACGTTAGTTTTAATTAGTAACGTTATTTTAAAAGATGATTGATTGACAGCTCTGTTGACGAAGGTGGGCTCCTGCAGTGTTGTGTTTTAGGTTAACAGACGAAATACTTGAATTAAACACAAGAGTCTGTTCTGGTGTGATCTGGACCCATCTGCGCAATCTTTGTGCTTTCTTTTTAAGCTGTATGCATGTTCGTTTTGGTCCGCAGAGAAGGTGTGACGTCAGTTTTGCCACTTTGCCAGCTAGGTAGCCCCCGTTGAGGCCAGTTTTCAGCTCCTCTTCTCTCAGAGGGAGGAATTGAAGTGATTTTGTCCATTTTACATACATCCAGTGGTCATGACCTTCAGAATCCTCCAATCTTCCAAACCCGTATGGACGCCCCTCTCTGAATGTCAGGACTTTTTAAACCTACAGAGTGGCACAATACATGAAAAGATGATTGCTTTGAGGATTCATTAATGCACACTATGCCCAACAGATGTAACATGACCTGAAAGCCAAAGAAGACCTAATCCCACATCCATTTCACTGTCTGTCTGTGCTGTGAGGGGAAATCCTGCAAGCTTACAGTCCATCTTCTCTTTCCAGTACAATCTACTTTTTCTTGAATGACTGTGTGCGTGTGATTTTTAGAGGCAGAGTCCAATCCTTTATGACATATTGGATAATACCCATGTGTCCTGAGGGTATCACAGCAAAATATGGCATGCCCATACATTAGGAGTCGTGCCAGTGCTTTTATTTGCCAGTGATGTGTTGCATTCAGTCTTCTTGGCAGAGCCGAGGCTACAGAGGGACTGTTTTCATTTCTCTGTGCTGTCTGTCCAGGCAAACTCAGATCCACATGATTACAGACACAGCAAAGAGCTCTCCGTCATGTTTTTTCCTGCTGCTATAGACCTGTGTTAGCGGCAGTGTCATTCACATTGACAGCTTTCATTCCTCTTAGATGGATTCAGGAACATTAGGGGTCCAAATATCTGCCTTAACTCTCTTTTATTACTGCGAAACTCCTCCATAACCACTATAAATATACGTTATTTAAATCCATACACAATGAAAAGATGTGACTATTGTTCTAGGAGGAAGAAGACAAATGATGCACATGTGCTGATATTTTATTGCAATCTGTGCAGGCTGTTAAACTGCTGTATCATCGATGTTCATCTCTAAAGAAATACTCCAATGAAGGACTCTAGTAAACATCAATTAATAAGAATTATGTGATAGTACAACAGCAGAATCACATCATTTATTGTTAATGATTGTTGAAGATTTTGCTCCAATGTTCCCCCGGTACAGAAAAACTCAAAACATCCTCCTTATTCTCGTCTCCTTTTGGGATCGTGTGCAGTATGAAGGGACTAGCGCAACTGCAGAGGTATAAAGCAGAAGAGGACCGAGCAGATAAAGGGAGTAGTTGTGTTTTGTGCTTTGGGAAGCACCTCAGTAATTAAATACTACTGTAGGAAAATTAATCAGCCCAGCGCCTGCAAGAAGCCCCAACGTGAAAAAACAAAGCCCTATCAAGACTGGTGGCGGTGGTTCAAATTACTCCTTCTTAATCATCTCCACCATCCCTGGAGTTTTGGCTGTTTTGTTTTTACTGTTACAATCTTGGCTGCTTTATTTTAGTGTCACTGTGAGGGTGTTATTTTTTTACTTTTGTATTGACTTTGTTCTGCGGAGTGAGATTTAACCAAACAAACTCAAGACCTAAACATTTTATTTTGCTCTTATTGCACGACAGAGGATTAGTGTGAGGTGAAGTATAAAAAAAATAAAGTTTTCGGGGACGAAATTGTTAAAAAGTTTGTTAAAAAGTAGAAGTAGGGAAAAGTCACCAAAAAAAAAATTTTTTTTCAATTATTAAAGCTGTAAAGTGATGAAAATAAAGTTATCAACTGACAAGTATTGAGTCAAAAGCTGATACAGATGAAGTGAAGTCTACGAAAGAGGATTAGGGCCACATGAATAGAAAAAAATAATAATTGCAGGAGAGAGATTCAAGTCAAAATTTTGAGATTACAGTCAAAACTTTGAGATTCAAAAGTCGAAATAAAGTCAATAAAGTTGAAATTTCAAGAAGAAAAATTAAGATTCTTAGATAAAAAATTTCCAGATTACAAAATGTTGAAATGTCGTGAATAATGTGGAAATTTTCAAGATTAAAAAAATCTCAATTTTGAGATTAAAGTCAACATGAATGAAGTCGAAATTTCCACTTTTTAAAATTTAGACATTAATCTCAAAATTTCATCTTTAATCTCAAAATGGAAATTAAAAAAATCTCTCTCCACATATACATACAAAAAAACCCGGCAACCAGATCAGGGGTTTTATTTTGTCCACAGGGGGCACCAAATTCAGCACAGATTGATAGTCACTCACAGGGGCTTTAATTGAGGGCAACATAACTTAGAAATTTCTTCATTTGCTGTTTGCATCTTTTTAATTTACCAAAAGTGCATTGAGCCTAAATACTTCAGTTAATATCTTATTTCAGACGCACACTGTTCCATTCAGTAGACTCTGCTTTGTAGAGACCCTTCCTCAGCCCTTCAGACAGTATGTTGCAGATTTAATCCCCATGCATAAAGCGAAGCCGGTGTTGTCACAGTAGGCTTAGCTAGTTTTATGACAGCATGTAAAGACCTTCTTCATCCCCTTCAGCCGGCTGCTCATCGATCGCTCTGATCTCCCTTGAAATTAAAATCCCACCAGGAGCTCCTCCGGTGATCGATCATCTCTCGCACAAGAGCACCGAGCGGCTGTGGGCGGACACACGAGGATTTAGAGTTTATGTTATTGGGGAACTTCACAAGTAAGCGCACTCAAACGCACACTCATAGACACATGGTGTACTTGATGAATGGTTTTGCATTGATCTGTCTGTGGATAAATGCGATGATAACTCACAGTAGGAGGTGGTCAATTATTCCTCCCGAACAGGGCTTATTTTCTTCCAGAGACGTTCAGCTCCTGTATTGGTTGTGGTGACACTGACAGAGAGTCAAGACAGAATGTTTGTATTGGTTCTTTAATTGGTTGTTTAACACTGGACACAGCTTTTATATTTTTTTTGTCCATTTTAGAGAAAAAAAGACCAAGTGAACTTAAGTAAACTGCGGTAAATACAATTTGTACATTCTCGCCGCATCCCCACAGTGATGTTTTACATCTAAGAGGGTAAATCCCACAGCTTCGCCCCCGGCTATTAAAACTAGACTCTACCTTTAGCAGACCACCAAAACAAGTACAGTTTTGTGTTGAAGGAGGGATTTTTGGAGGAGGGAAAAAGCAATCAGTGGTCAGAAGCTGAGGGGATGAAAAAACACCCCTAGGACTTTGGGAGAAAGGCAGAGAGAAGCGATACAGATAGAGAGAAGATGTTTAATTTGGAACTGTGGTCCACTGAGACACTTAATCTCCTTCAATCCTTGTGGAGGGTGAAAGCAGGGCGGCAGAGGTTGTGAGGGGTTGACCGGGCCAGGTGGAGAAACCACAAATCTCCTACAAACGGTTGCTGAGAGCCTGCAGGGAGTCTTCTGCTGACTGTACATCCTCTAATCGTCCTCTCATCCCCTCTTTCCTATTACCACCAGCACATACATCTTTAATACTGGATGATATCACGAACAGGCTGCACAGTGATGCGGTGGTAAGTGCTGTTACTTCACAGCAAGAAACTGACTGCCTTCCTGCATGAGGTTGAAATGTTCCCCCCCTATCTATGTGTGGATTCTCCCTGTGCATGCATGGGGTCTCTGTGGGTGACTCTCAGTTGTCTGTAGGTGTGAGTGTGTGCATGAATGGTTGTTTGTCTGGAGGCCTATCCAGAGTGTGCCCCGCCTCTCACTCAATGACTTTGCTTTTAAAATGTGGGCAAAGACCTTCTCTGATGGCAAGTAATGTGTCTATATGTGTAGTACTGAAGAGGATTAGGGCCACTGGGAAAAAAAAAAAGTCTGATATAAATATAGTTTTATCATTCGAAGGAAAAAAGTCAGAATTCTGAGAAAACAAATCTGATTTCTGGGGTAAAAAGTCTGAATACAAGTCAGAGTCCTATGGAAGCGTACTACATTCACTTACAAATAAATAAATAACGAAACTTTTTTTTCTGAGTAATTTTTTTCTTCTTTCTGATTTTCTGACATTTTTTTTCTTTTGTTTGTTTTGTACCAATATTTTATCCCCCTCTTTCCATTTTGCGGACACATTTTGTTTCCGTTTTCAGACTATTTTTTTCTCCCTAACTAAGCGAGATACTTAAAAATCCTGCGAGAATCTCATACAATCAGATAATATTAACCACCACGGCTGCTCCAATTCAACTATGGGTCAATGAGAACAAAGCATGTTATTAGTTAAACAAAGGGTATGCAAATCCAGAGGTGCCTGCGCACAGTAGACAAACTTATGACAATTCCATCGATCTGACTTAAAGAAGGGGGTATCTAACACCAGTGAAACAGTTGAATGATTATGATTGTCTACTGTCTATTCCAGGAACCATATTTCCCCAAAAAACACACATCACATATAAGTCAGTTTTTAAGATTTATTCTCAAATTTGAACTGAAAGTTGATTTCAAAATTGTAGAACAAAAAATTGCGACACTTATGTGAATCGATTTTTTTTCTCCCACCCTGAGTATTTCCCCATTTCAACATATATTCTGTGTTTGGATTGTTGAAGAAGGGAATCCAAAAATATATAATATGTTATAGATGAAAAATGTCTTGATCTCTTTTTGATGACGGTTTGTCCAGTTTGACATAAATGGCGTCCTTAACACATTTCTCAATCTCATGATCTTTGCTGCTCAGTATGCAAACTTCATCTCTCATCAAATGACTCCTTCCATTATCCCCTGGATGCTCTTTAAATCGTTGCTTCTTCTCTTGTTGGTTGAAAATTTACATATAAAGTGTAAAAAGCGTAGAGTCCATGTGGTTTCCTAACCACTGAGGACTGTAATTAAAAAACACATGGCTATAGTGGTATGTTTACATCCTCCAACATATGGCGAGCGGAGAGTGTTGTAGAAGAAAAATGAGTTATTCAAACTTTTTAAACTGAGGGGAATATAAAAACAGATGTTGGATGAAGCTATGATGAGAAAAAATTTAAAGGCTTTTTTGTGATCTTTAGGGAATATTTTCCTCATGATGACACAGTATATGAACCTGGTGTGTGTGTGTTTCATGGCTGATGATCGATCAAACATGTCTGCACAGGTGCCCTGGGGATCTGAATTTCCATAAAGCACAGAAGAGAGGGTCTCGTTTTCTCAAGGGTCCTCATGTTCTCATACACACACTCATAGACACGTACACACCGGGCCCCACTTTGATCAGAGGTGCGCTGACATCTGTCCCATATGGTTGTCAGCCGCAGTGAGCTCCCTCTCCAGTCGAACATATGTTTCCACTTAGCTCGGTCCAGTGCCGAGTTTATTTCTCTCTCTTTGAAGTTACATCACACTTTCATGTTTTAATTTTCGCCCAAACTGTGAACTATCTCGCTGATTTCATTGTTTTTCATGACACATTCAAATATGGTTGAAATGTTGTGTCACTACAGTCAGACAGTCAGGGATGCATATGTGCAACTCAGAGTCCAAATGATGATTTTATTCTCCATCATTTGTGGAAAAGATGTGTTTTTTGTGCAGCTAGTAGTGATGCATTGCCTCGCCCTGACATGGAGTTTGATCCTGGGTGTCTGTTATGCTTGTGGGCTACCCAGCTGGTCTACATTAAGTGATCACCAGAGCTGGACGCCACTGTGCAACTGCTTCCCATCTCCTCTCTGCCAGTGGGTATCAGTGGGGTTCATATAGCTTGATGGAGCTGCAGATGGCCAACAGAACAAAAATGCCTCATGTGCCTCTGTTTGCAAACTCAATGAGTCATACAACGTGATTCACAAATTACTGATGTGCCAAGAGATGGAAGCATCTAGAAAAACCGAAAAAAAAAAAAAAAAGCGATGGGTCTCATGGGTGTTCAACCAACATGATGATCTATTATTTACTTTTTTCCAGTAGCACACATTAGATCTGCCCATCTGGCTGATGACTCACCTCTGAGGCATCATTCACTTTTTCCATCTGACTCAATACAAATTTCAAAGTTTTGACAACACACATCTTTTTAGAAAAACTCCACAGTTCCTTTTCTTGAACAATTACTGACATAAGTCATGCTTAAAGGGATATTCCGGTGTAAAATTAATTTAGAGTCAAACACAACGTAACACCGAGTTAGAAACCCAATCGAGAGATGAATGTTGCCGACCTTGCTTCTCTAGTTATACCAACTTGAGTAACGATCACAGGATAGCAATACACATCAGTCTGAGGAGCCGTAAACAAATCTCAACCAAAACGCCACTCTATAGCCACAAATAATGCTCAGAACAGCACCTAACTTCATCAACAGTACATATAGGGTCCCAGCAATAGTATTAGCCACCAAACATCTTTTTAACTTTGCCTAATTTCTTTAGCAAAGAGACTGAGCACAACTCACCTCCTCTCTTCCAGCAGTCGCTTGTTTGTAGCGAGACCTCAGGCCAGTCCATTACGGACTACTGCGGGGTGACAAAGCTCCAGGAAGAACATGCTGTGTATTGGTATCGTGCGGTCGTTACTAAAGTTAGTTTAACTAGAGAAGCAAGCGGTCGGCAACATTCATCTCTCGAGGGGGTGACTAACTTGGTGTTACAGTGTGTTTGACCCTAAATTAATTTTACGCCAGAATATCCCTTTAATATTGTAAATACTTGAAATCCATATACTATACCATACCTGCTCTTGATTATCCCCCTGTCGACTCCAGTGCTGCACATTCTCATTGCACCGAGAGAAGTGAATAAAGCAATATTAAAAAAGCATCAAGAACCCTCATGCTAACAGAGGACACATACGCTCACTTCTCATACAGGACAGTTTCAGGCCACTCTGTGCATTTGAATGAATGATCCCTCCCTCCAGTGGCTCCGTTGATGGTTCAGAAATTCATTTCTAATTTTTCTTTCTAATTTGTGAGTCTTTACATGGATTATCTCGCTCTTATTTGTCAGAACTTTTAATCCCTTCCACCCCAGCACGATCACTTAGGTTCTCCTGAGCCGTCTTTCTCAGTTCTCCCTTGAACTCGGCATAAACTCTGCACTGATAGTCTTTGTCTCACTCGAGCAGGTCGGTATCATCATCAGAAGTCTCCTCCTTCTTCCGCCTGGGTGCTGGACTCTGCACTGGGAGTTTGTAAGAATGTGAGAAGAGGGGAGAGCTGGCATCACAGGAGATTGCTCCAAAACCACTATCTGACACTCCAGCTGGCCTTAAGTCTTTAACCTTTTCACCTGAGCTCTGTTGTGAGATTTTTCAACCGAGAGCCCATGTTTGTAAAACCAGCTGCCCAACACATTCCTTCAAAAAACAGCTACCCTTTTCTCTGACCACCATATGAAGTTAGAGCATACTCAGGGCCAATCCCAATTCTACCCCTTAGCCCTCCGTTTTGCGTGTTCATGTCAAGGCGAGGGGTTTCCCAGTTCTCTATAAGGTTTAGGGGAAGGCCAAGAGGTAAGATTTTGATATGATTTTCATAGTCATGTCACAATCAGATATTCAATCCTTTGTTATTCCATGTAAATATTAGCTATGTTTTGAATTGTTTGCATTTTAAAATTGCGCGTTACGACGAGCTGTCTAAAGAAGTTATAGTTATTAATAGCTACGCTGATGTCAGACTGCTGTTGCGAACAACAGCTAACAACGGCTAAATGTTACTATAGAAGGTTGTTTTCCGACTTGTTAACTGGTATCATCGCATCAGGCTACGACAAAGCCAGCAAGCAGCAAGGCATGATGATGTTGTAGGAATCGAGTGGCGTCTTGTTTTTCAGGAGCGTGTTTTCACCCCCTTCCCCTTTTCACCACATCCGGAATGGCGGCAATTTTTGCCGTCCACCAATTCCTACCGGATCTGTTTCTGAGGCGAATTTCGTGGCCGATTATGGACAGCAGGAATCGTGAGAATTCACAAGAACCCGCAGATTCACGTTCAGTCGCTCGATAACAAGTTTTGTCTAGCCATGAAGGCTAACCATATAAGCGGTAGATTGTGTCCTTCCAGAGGAGGAAATCTACTTCTAGACTTTTAGAATCAGCATCTCCATATCTTTGGTGTCAACGTGGTGAAATGATGTCTGAAGATCTTTGACTTGTTTGTCCCCACATGCTTGCATGGTGTGAAATACGATCTGCCTGAAACAGGTAATGTTTTATTTTGAAAAGAAGCCAAATGTTTTATTTTGTGTCTGTGTCCGACTTCCTTTCCAACATGGGTTCATCTGTGCTGAGTTTATGTGCCATGCTGCGGCGTCTGGAAAAAACAGAACTCTTGTGATCACCTGCGGAACGGAAAGAAGCCGGTGGAAATTGACACAATGACTTAAACGGCTACGATAAGTTGTGATCGGCGGAAATGACCTTTTCGTAGCCGTTCTGGATGCGGTGGAAATTGGGGGTTAGGGTGTTTGCACTGCCTCCCCTTGCACTTCAGCTTTAATGGAGAAAGAGAAGAAAGAAGAAACAAAACACAGAGAGAGGCTTTGGAGAAACTGGGGAGGCTTACGTTCAAACACCCTGGAAACAGACATCTTTGTGCTAATAAGAGGTCGCATCATTTTATGTAAATTTCAGTATATAGTGACTATATGCTTTGTTAAAACACATCCCACTCTCGTTGAACAATCTTTAGCTGGAATATATTGAGTTTGAATTATAAATGTAAAACGCTAAGTGCTCAAACCTCCTACATTCCTTTATGCATAGAGAAAAGCACACACGAGCAGCATCAGCATTAACGTCAGTCATTTGATGTTAATTTTATGACTTTTATTTTTGTTGCCGATGATTTCTATTAACTGCAAATCACGGAATAATCACAGAGACTACGGCCTGAAGACAGGCTTATACGACGCTTTATTGATTGCAGTTAAATGGCAAATTAAGTCGTCAGTGTTGCAGGCAGACGGTGGGTTTGGTTCAATTAAAAACGTCATCAGTTTCAGCATCAACATGGTTCAGCTCTCCAGGTGGTATAAAACGGGCCATCCACTGCAGACATGCTTTTATTGCTCTGAATGTGGCACACAATGTTAAGAAAACACCTACGCTGTCACAGAAGTGTCGCTTTTGAAGACATTATCTGAGGAGAACAACAAAGTATAGAAATTAAATCTTCTCACAACAACAGGGAATCTATAAAAGCATTGATTGCAGTTCATCAGTATGTGTTTGGGCATATATTCTGGAAATCCATAACATGCTGAGTTAGAGTTTGGATTCAAAACAAAAGATTCACTGAAGCTAAATATACCGATAAAAATCTGAGTCATATGAAATAACACTTTCAGAACAAAATAGGAGGGGAAACGTCGGTGCCAGATAAACAAAAAGTATCCTCTCTCAGCGAAAGTGTCATGTTGCCATGGCTACACACCTACAGCTTGTATTTATGAAAGTAATTTCATTTGCAAATGAAACCAACACCACTAAAGCCAATCTTAAGAGGGTAGACAACAGCTTTTACTCTGCCCGCGGTTCATGTCCTGCATATTTTAAAGTTTAACGAGTGAAGTTAGCCCTCCGCCTTGTGCCTCACGGTCTGTTATAAGTAGCTGGAGTCATGTCCGAGAGTGCATGGGTGGACCAGCATGTGGGTGAGCACTTGCCAGGTAGAGAAAGGTATTGCTGTCTGTAGGTGGAGGTTAAATTTTGTGTTTTTCCGCATGAAGAGGCAGAACAGTGAGAGAGGCACCGAGGAGAAAAGAGAGAGGAGATAAAAATGAGGGAGGGAGCTCTTCAGCCTTGCCAGAGGATCAGCGTGTGGGCCATTAGCATACTTGACCTAGCACAACTTTATTAGGTCAAAGGGGATTTTTCTTTTTTAAATTCTGTCTCCTTTTCCAGCGCAGACTTCACTGACGCCGTACAGTGATGAGTGTGATAAGTGACGCTTTAATGTAAAACAGGAGCTTTGAAAAGCAAACCTCACGCCCTGAGCTCGTGACCTTTGGCTTAAAATGAGCTTATCACACTTGATCTCCACGTTTGCTCTCATTTAACTGACAGCACACAAAACTTCAGGTCGATGTATGATGGCCGATACCGGGAGCTGAGTCGAAGAGACATTAATCAAACTGAAGAAAACAATGACAGACAAAATAATGAGGAGGATCTCATGCGGGTGCTGCTGGTGTTTCTACATTTGTTAAGAAATACCGTGTGACCAAAGGATGGAGATCAAGACCAGGTCTAATAAAAACCTGATTCTACATGTTTTAAAACCTGAAATCAATCACATTTGAGCTAATTGATTCTGCTATTGAGTCTTGAGGGTCCCATGAAATAATGTTATACTTTAAGTCACGTCATGTTAACTAAATAAGTGGTGCATGATCATTAATAGACCGTCTAATAAAGTTTTTTTGTTCTTTTAGGAAGAAGAATTCTGGTGGTCAGATGTTTGACGAGGTCCCAACTGTGTCTAACTCGACATTAATCTCTCAAAAGCAGCTGCTTTCAGGACAAAGGTACAATCATCTCTGACTGTTTGCATTTTTAAGATGGTCTTTTTTTAGACTTGTCATCTCCCATTACTTAACTCTCTGTGACACAGTATTTCTTGGCAGCTTGACATTGATCGTAGCTGCATTAGTAACTGTTATATTAAAATCAGCTCTTTTAGTCCGCCTGTTTTATAACCTGAACTATTTTTGGAGCCAGACTATCACTAGGTGTTTCCTTTTTTCATCTCTTGTTGCTGTGGTTGCAGGTGATCCCTGGCAGAACTCATTGAGGGTACTCTCCCTTTACAAAGAGGTGGTGCTGTCTGATACTGGCAATCAAATTTAGGTCTAGACAAGGACATTTAAAGTATCTTCTGTGTTAGATAGAAATGTTATAGTGTGAAATATTTCACAGTATTTGTGCTTTTTAAATATTTGTCAAAGCACTTTGTAAACTTCAGTTTTTAAAAGTGCTAAAAAATGAAGTTATTATTATTAATATTATTATTATTTACTTTAACATCTTACTGAGCAATAGATGGATGTTAGACATTTAGTTTTTTTTAGACCTAATTTCAACCGCTTAAACCCATTATTCCACAACTATTTACTTCAAAAAGTAACTGTGAATTGCATAACTGATCTCCAAGTACGTAACCCAATTAATTAGGATAGCTGCTGAGCAATATACAGTGTAGTATAGATATAGCACTGATATAGACTTGGTCTAAATTTAGACGTCTAGAAAACCTTTATTTTCAGACCTGTGGTAGCCTGATTTTAGAGCAGTCATCTAGGTTACATTTAGACGTCTATTAGACCTTTTTTAGACCAAAAAATGCTCAGTGAGATGGCTTAGACCATGATCACAATCACATGGTATGGAGCCCAAACAGAACATACAACACAGGTAATGTAGTTACAGCACACTGCATGGCTGTTGGACAAAATAATGAAAGGATATAACAGAATATAAAAAGGTGTAAAAAGAGTTCAGCAGGTGGAGCAGGCTTGTAAAAATAATCTCTGCAGAATCATACAGAGCAAGGCTCAAACTACTAAATATGGAATTACTGCTACTAGAGAACAGAACAGAAGACCTTTCATGAATAAAATGAAAGCATGTTTACATGGTCTGGTGTCAAGAAAGTCTGGCAGGAGAAAACACACATTTAGTTGAGAAATCTCTCATGGCTGCAGCCCTTTGACGAGCGTCTGTCGTCTGTTGGTCGGTTGTTTTACACTGAAACATGCTCTAAACTTAAAACATTGCCCTGATAGATCTGTTTGATATGTTATCTGTACCTGACAGTAAATTGAACAAAAAATCCTTTTTATCAAGACTCAGTTTTATGTTAACATCTCTAGTGTAGACCTCAAATACAAGATAATTCAATTTTGAGTTGTATTCAAGGAGAAAAGAAACCTATTACTGCTTTTCACAAGTTTATGTCAGTCTTTTTCTCGTCTATCATATTTCTCTCTGCAGCTTCCTTTCCTCAACAATGCCCCCGAACCATTAAAATCACCTGCGCTGGAAAATATCAGAGGTCCAATTACTGAAGGAAAAAAAAAGCTCATAAAGGGTTTCAGTAGAGAGGACAAATGAGTGAACAGATTAGGAGGGCAGATGGAAGAAATAAAGCATCAATGAGGAAAGATATGGATGAGATGGAAAGGGAGAAATGGACAGCAGGAGGTCCTGAGGATAGAGGGAGAAGGGGGTGTAAATCTGGTTTAATGGGTGGAAACAGGTCCTCAGGTGTCTATAACAGCACACGCACACACACATACTGTATATACACAGTGGCCACAACTTACAAGGAAAGACAAGTGTGTGTGTGTGTGATCTCAGTATGCGGCTGTAAAAATGCATGAATCTGTGGGAGGTGAGCTGTATGCAAAAGAGGAAGGGTGTATTTTATGCGATGGCAGATTAATGAGCCTTAATAGCAGATTTGTGATCAAAGGTAGCTGCTCGGTGAGTTACCGCTGAGGTGTAAAGAAGAAATGTGTCTCTCCTTGTATTGTACTTTGCCTTCAGCGGTGGAAAATTTACTGCCTCAGTTCTTTTAACCTTAAATTTATCAGGAAAGTGATATGTAAACCACCCTCGACTCTGATATTTATGCCCTTTATGTCAGGACAGTTTTTTCTTCTTTTTTCAGGGGACTTTAGGTGCACTACCAAACTAGTCAAGACTGTGTTGCTGTTTTTATATGATCTATTATCCTGTTGATGACTCGGTGTAATCTTTCTCAATAAAACCCCATCAATAACAAGGACAGGATTTCAATCAGCACGGACGAGATAATTGGTAGATAAATGATGAGAGTATTATTAGTATTATGTTTATTGATTGTTTGCTGGAGATGAATCAAGACAAATGCAGGTTGTCAGATAGAGCCGTTTGTGAATTTTACCTCTGGCCTCAAGTAACTGAGACGGCATTGATTGTGAGCAGATTAGATGGACTGACTGGACCGTGTCCCACTGTGAGGAGTTGATGATAATGATAATAACACAGGAGGTAAGCGCAACAGTTTGTGGAGGAGGCAGGGAATAAAAGAGCAGCAGGGTGCTGAGAAAAGCAAGTGAAAAAGACGAGAAAATGACAACAACTAAACAACATAATCATAAGAGCCAACTGTCAGAGAACAGTAATGTCGACTTTACTGGGAACAAGTTTGGACATGAGTCTTCTTGACTTTGGTTCTGGGTGTAAATGATGTCTAGACTTTTAAAATGAATTTCAGAGGAGTAAAGATAAGTAAATGCTACAGTGAAGTCAAGAAATAAGGTATTAAAAAACTCCACTGTGTCCACAAAGATTGTCTGCAAACGATAACAACAACTTTGCTTTAATTCTGAGAAATTTACAGACCCGAACTTGGAGAAAAAAATGAATTTTATCCAGTTTGTTGTCACCTCTTGGTTTGTGCACGACTGACCATATTTGGACAAGGGTATGGAGCTACAATAGAGAGAGTTCAGCCCCGTATAATATTAGCTTTAGCTCAGTAAGTGGTTCAGTTAACTGGTCTCAGCTAAAATGTTTGGTGATATATATATTTTGCGTACTTCCATAAAATGTCTACATCTTTTTGTAGCCAGTGAAGTCTCCCCCTGCTGGTCATAAAAAAGAACACACTCCCTTAAAGTTTAATTTTTCAGCTCGAGGCTATGTCCACTCATAGACTGTATATAGAATGGACACCGTCTGCCCCCTCTCTGGGTGGAGCCACTCCGAGAACAGCACCCTCTGGTGACGGGCTGCAGTATAGGTCATAAATCCCGCCTCCTCCAGCAATCCCTATGGAGCTGTGGACAAACTTTATAAATTTATTACACAGAATATAAATGTTTCTCCCCCCTGCTTGTGATGTTGACATGTAGTTGATGTCAGACTGGTTTGTGCCCAAGTCCTCTTTTTTCTGTGAAGCTCCATTTTTAAAAGTTATTAGGGGGTTCATGTTCTCTATAATTGACACCTGATAAAGCCTACAGGTGTACGAAGATTGCGTAGCTCACCCGGGGATACGCTGTTTGAGCCAAGCGTCATCACAGTAACTCTCTGCGATGAAGTGCGTACGACGCTACTGCACAATGTTGGTTTCAGGAAATGGAGAAAAATCACAGAAATACTGCGATTCGTCTTCAAATCCATTTACTGGCAGAAGGTGGAACCAAGTTGTCCATAGTGTATACAGTCTGTGTGTCCACCTCTTTTAGCTAAATTCGTCACTATCAGACTCATTTATTTTAGCATTTTAATATTAAATTCAGTTTGTCTCTTGGTAATTTTCCTTGACATGCTTGTAGTGAGTGATTGTTAAGTTAAACAAAGGGTTAAAAAGTCATCTCAAAATTGTGTCAGCATGTTGTGCAGGTGACTGTTTTTGCCCTTCACTACCTACCTTTTTCTACTCCTATAAATCATGTGCACACCACTTTCTCTCTCTCTCTCTCTCTCTTTCTCTCTTTCTCTCTCACCCTTTCTTCTTCTTCTCCTCCAGATGAGCTCTGCCAAAAAAGGCTGAGTCACAGTTGGCTCTCTGCTCCGAAAGTCTATTGTCATCCAGACATTCAGCCCTTCTCCCCTCTTCTTCTCTCCTGGCTCGCTGATTTCTTATTCCCTCTCTCTTTTTTTTTTTGCTCTTTCATCTTTTGTCCTTCTTTTGGCTCAGGTGCGGGTGTCTTTTGTGTGAAACAGTGCGTGAGAATACTGTCCTCGGATCTCATAGGATTATGCAAATAATATTCATGCTAGCAAACACAAGGACTGTAGAAAACGCGGACACAAACACGCGCACATGAATTGTTTTCAGCATTTAATTTCTTAAAGAAGCAAAGCGTTGAAAATGAGAATAATTCATGATAAATATGATGAAATATTGTAATGCTATGGTTTGCTGTACTTCATTCAGTCTCCATCTCCCTCAGGAGGTCTTTTTCTGTGTTTTGAAAATTTGCTGTCATGTGCAATCAGAGACGAAGTCGAGGAGGAAAACATGACCTATTTTGAGTCTTGATTTGATGCGTTTTTTCCTTCATGGATATTTCATAAAGAAGAAGGAAAGGTGCTGAGTTTGTTGCGGGATGGATCGAGATCAGAGCATATGCATGAGTTATAAACCAGACTGGAGGATACTGAAGATGGTGGTCGCTTTAAATTGTTAAAAAATGCTGCTTGAGTCTGAAATGTGACATGAAGCTTTGCAGCTTTCGAGGTGTTGTGGTTTGGCTCGTGCCTGTCTGTGGCCAGGACTTCCTCTTTTGTGATTTTATTTATTTATTTAATAAACCTACAGTGAAAAGGAAAAATCTGCTATGTTATCCAGAATACAACTGCATGAAATGTGCTGATATGGATGTTTACTGCATTCACTGAGAGGAATACACAGCATCTGTTGAATCTGCCGACAACATTATCAAACAAGCAAATGTTGAAACGTTCAGATTATAATGAGACATTCAAAGTGACGGCAGCTGCAGCACACAGTATCTACATGTAAGAAGTCTGTATGAATGTTTGATTTCACTGGAGGATTAAGATCATTTTTAAAAATCTGTAAGAAAGAAAAGTTGCAGCTGTAGACAGCACTGGGTCCAATCTGCTCTCCCATTTCTTACCCTTATTGTTTTCTCAATGTGTAATAAACATACATCAGTAAACTGCAGTAAAAGCTGAAACCAAAGCCCCACTGTAAAAACACAAGGACAGCAAATCACCAGTGTGTGAAACTGCTGTAATTTCAGGGAGATAAGTCATACAGTAATGTAGTTAAACTTTAATCTGCTCTGGCTATGCTCTAAAAAAAACTATGAGCTTTTCAGTGAAGTAATTCAAGGTTTACTCTGCTGAAAGTGGGTAAGTCCAAGCCGAATATATGCACATGTAGAAGCTTCTAATTGGGGATTGAATGGACAGTTTCAAGACAAAATATTGATGTTATTAATAAGTCATTAGTATAGAAATACGAACTTTTGATGATTTGTTTTTGGTCAAACTTTGGTCCAAAAAAGACATGCTTCCCATAGGTGTCACTGTTTTGTGCTGTCAAGCATTTTTAAAAATAAAATAGGATTAAAAATTAAAGCTCCTGTAAGGAACTTTTGTGGATTTTGGAGGGATTTGGTGTCTCCTGTGGACACTGTAGTCTATTATTATCTTGTCCTCTGCATGAATTAGATTAAGAGAGCTCATCCTGTTGACTTTTGACAGTCAGATGTATCAATAATTGGGGTTTTTTTGTATGAAAATTGTTCAAGCAAGTCTGTTTTTTCCTTTTTCGGGGCTGACACCTGCCTTCTTACACTGGTTTCAAATATTAAAAATATTCTAAAATAAAAATAATCATCACTGATGGTTTTGTTTGCTTCTGGGTGTCATTAAAAGGCAGGAAAATAAATTTTAGAATGAAAAAAAATCTCTCAGGAGCTTTTTAGTTTGATTTTAAATAAACTGCAGCCAGCGTGCTTAATTTGAAGAGCTGAATTGCATGTGAACTGTATACATGTTCACATGAGAAAATCCTCTAGAGTAGCAAAGCTGCAATCACAGCAAGTTACCCTGAAGCAGCTTTCATTTCACGTACATGCTTCACCATGAAGCGTAGAGTCACTCATATGAATATAACATAGATATTTCTCTCTTTCATCCCCATAAGACACTTGAGGGTGATAAGTGCAGCAGCAGCAGCAGAGAGTGAGATGGGATCTTTGTTTTTATGGATATGGTTCAAAGCATCACCCCTCATCTCCATCCAGCCGTGTTTCTTTGGCCCTGTGGAAAGAAACGTGCGTAGATAGATTGTGTATGAGTGACATTTCTGGGCCATTAACACCCGTCGCCATTCCCGTTCAAGCAATCCAGTGATGAATTTTACAGAAGTCAATTTAGTAACCTGACATTTTAGTTCTCCATTTAATGCAAGCCCCTGCGGTTCTGTCCTCTGTCAAACAGCCTCTGAAGGGAACAATCAAACACGAAGCAGAGATAAAAATATGAAGTTTTGTTAAGAAATATCAAAGAAGAGCTGCTCTGAGTCTTGTTGAGCTCATGCAAAACTTGTCTTTAAAATCTCTCATGTTTGTCGAGGGTTCAACAGCCAGCAGCTGCAGAGTCAGTCTGGAAAGAGAACTATATGTAATATGAGAAACTGTGTCAATCAGAGACTTAACAGGATACTTAACAGTTTGTTCTGGTGTCTAAAGTGTGTATTTTATTAAAGGGTACATATTTTTCCCTCCAGACTAGGGAGAGGACTTGACAAGATTTTATTGATATCGATTCTGCTTATCGATACAATTCTTTAACGATTCCCTTATCAATGCCTCTCAAGTAGACTATAGGTTTCACTGTTAACTCAAAATTTTATTGAGTCTCTGATAACAGAAAAAGATGTACGCCACCTTCAGTGAAAGTCTAAAAATAATCACTTCACTTCACTTAAACTTTATTATGTCCCAAAAATGGGCAAATCGGGTTGCAGCAGGCACAGGCATTTAAAACACTGCCATATGTCATAAAAAATAATAAAATAAAATAAAATACATCTACATAAAAAGCAGTTCAGGAGGTAAAAAGTATCAAAGATGATTTAGAAAGTAAAAAAAGAAAGTACTTTCGCATGAACAGAGTGCATAAGATAAAATGCAAAAATCAAACGACAAACAATTTGTTGCGCATTTACTTTGGTGCTATCAAGTCAAATATATAGTACGTTGTTTCGTCTGGCATTCATTGTGCTTATGTCAACACAGGACATGCACCTTCCATGCCGTGCTGAGACAGAGCTGCAGCGGCTGACGACCGGCGGAGAGCATTGAATACATGTGATTCCTTATATTTGATGCCGTGCCCCGCTGACAAATGTTTAAGCATGTTACTGGTGTTTTCACCTTTGCATGTTATCACTGCTTGACAAACGTTGCACATCGCGATGTTGTCATCTCTCTTAGTAAAATTAAGCCACACTTTAGTTTGTTTCTGCCTACTTTTTGTACCGTCCGCCATGTTTTTTTCCTTAAAGTCTCTGTTCTCGTTCATGTAGACCAGCACTCGACCATTTTTCAAGGCACCTGGAGGAAAGGAATCGTTCAGGGAATTGTTAAGATAAAATGTAAATGATGTCGATGAATTGAACCATTTGGAAACGGTTCTCAATTCCCATCCCTATTCCAGACAGGTAAATCAATTCTGAAATTCCATTTATTTTCATTTGGTTCTCATTCTTAATCCTTGGACTCTGATCAAGTCTCTGTACATGGTGTTTTATTTTTGAATAGACTCGATGGTACGTGCCATTCTTGTGTTTGGTTTCCTAGGTCAGTCTTTGTTGTTCAGCTTGATATCTGCTAAATTTTCAGAACTAGCCTGAGCGCAGTGGTGGTGATTGCCTGGTGGTCTCATCGCCCTGAATATAAAGATTATAATCCTTGTTGCATTGGTCTCTAGTTGGCAAATGACCTTGACTGCATGTCTTTCCTCACTCTTTAGGGAACCAGCAATCGGCAACAAGTCCTCTACCTTGCAAATCCTATCAAAGTGTTATAAGTAGTTGATTGATTGACTCTCATTAATAAACTCCTGCCAAGTCCAGACAGTGTCAGAACCTGATTGAGAGGAGTTCAAGAATGAAATGCTGAAAAACACTGATAGTTTTGAAAATGCTAGTTTTTACAGTTGTAAAATCAGTCTCCACAGTCTTCTTGTGTTAAACAAATTGAAGAGGTTTGGTACATTTGTATTGGTTCGGTAGTTTAACAATGATAAAGGCAGTCTGCAGCAGAGATTGTGTAATGTTGAAAATGAACATGAAGAATAAGTTTGCAGTTTCCTAACTCTCCTGTGGTCCTTATTCTAAAATGTTAACAGCTCAGCACTCAGACCAACGACTTTAGAGAGATTGATAAAGTTTTCTGAACTCACAGAACAACTTGTACACACACACACACAAACACACACAAAACACAATGATCAATTATACACAAGGCAGCCAGGTAATATAATGTGAGGTCCATTAATCCTGATAACTTTGTCACTGTGCCAGCTGTCATTTGCTGTGTGTGTGTCTGTGTGTGTGTGTGTAGGTGTTTGTCTGTGGAGAAGCAGGTGTAGCAGGGGAGGGGAGTGACGGGGTTTCCCTCGCTGGAGTCTGGCTGCAGACCTTTTTGGATAGCCTGAGGTACAGAGCCTCGTTTTTCATGTCGACAGCTCTGCTTATGGCTCTGATACTTTCCCTTGATTATGTGTGTGTGAGTGCGTGTGTGTGTGTGTGTGAGGCCATGACTTTTAAGAGAGATCATTTGCATATCCAGACCCCGTGGCACTTCCCAGCGCTTTCTCAATCAGAAGCTTTTTGGGGTTTGGTTTGAATAATGAAAGTTATAAAAGATGTAATTCATTCACGGACCAAAATAGTAAAAGCAAAATGAAACCCCTCAGGTGTTACTGTGTCTGCCGCGTGTGTGCGAGCTTGGTTTGTGATGGTGTTTGTGAAAAACCTATTACAGCCGATGGACCAGAGTGATAGCCTGCTCTCAGCTTTATAGCGGCTGATGGCTGTGTGTGTGTGTGTGTGTGTGCATAATGCATGGATCACGATTTACAGAGATAGCCTTGGGTAATTAGAAAAATACTATCGCACTATTTGCAAACAAGATCAATTTATCAGTGTTTTCTTGTGATCAAAAGCACTTTGCATGTAAATGTGCGGCATTAACATTAACGGTCTCCAAAGTGTTTAGCGTTGTTTAGTATCAACATACGTTTCTTGTTTTTGTGTGTTCCATTATCATCCGTTTTCACAGCCGCCCTGTTTTTATGTTTGGTTTCTCTATCTCAGCGAGGCTTACGTTTTTGTGTGTGTGTGTATGTGCAGACACGTGTCGTCGAGCATGTGATATCCATCAAGAACAGCAACCATTTCCTCCGAGTACAGTGTCAACAAACACTATCAGGGGACCAGTCAGCAGTCCAATGAAAGATGCACCTGGGTGTTTTTCCCCCCCTGCAGAAAGGCTTGATGTATTTGTCTACCGAGACACAACTGTGTGTGTTTGCGTCTGCCGCGGTGCTCTCAAAAGAAATAGATTTCACATCTACTGTTGCTTACATGCGTTTACTCTTTGTCTCTGGAGATGGATGATTCCCATCACTGCGCCGTGTGCGTCATGTGTGCGAGGGTAAAGGACAAATCATGAGAGCGGGAGGGACAGAGAGGAGGACAGGTGAAGAAGAAAAGGTGTTGAGAGAATTTTCATGTTTTCCCCGTCATTATTTTTTCCTCCTGTCAGTCTGTCTCTCTCAGTCTGCTTCTATTTTAAGCTCCCTGCTCTGCTTTGAGGTAATTATAATAATTCAGAAAAGCAGCATGAACATGTAAAAGCCTTTCAGCAAAGACAAGCCACCAATTCTACCTCCAATAAACTTCAAATTTGTCACATCTTTGGCTTTCTGCATTAGTGGTGGGAAGAACAGTTCTTTGGACCGTACTGACTCTTTAAAAATCCCTTCATTAAAATGATTTGTTCAAAAGATTCGTTCACCGAATCAGTCAGTGCTTCAGAGCCCCGGAGTTCGTTCAGTGAACGAGCCCCTCCCCTCCTCTCTGCTGCTGAAGAATCTCTCCCCTGCCCTGAAAAACTGACCTCTCTGTGTGCTGCCGACATGCACATCGCGACACGAGTGAAACAACACAACAGCAATCAGCACGTCTGCTAAACAAGTGCGAGATGTTGATCTTGTTGTTGAAAAGAGAGTCTGCTTTTACTTTGTGAGGACGTGCTGTTGACTGACCAAAGTTTCTAACATGTCAGAAAATCATCTTTGATCAGCCTTTGTGCTCCACAGTCAGGCACTCTGCTGTCACTACTCCTTTGTACTTTCAGACAGGACCACAAAATAACATTAGTCAGTCCACATGCTCACAGCAAAGTCCCATCTGGTTTTCCGGTGAAGTCTTACCTCAGTCTGCATGTATCTGCCGACCTTCAACCACTCTTAAAACAGCATGTGTCACTCTGCTTCTCATCTCTCTCCTCTGGATTCCAGTTGGAGCTCATATCAAATACAAAACTCTACTTCCTGCTTACAAAACAGCAGGAAAAATGGCTCCTGTCGACCCTAATCTGGATTCCACAATCCACCAATAATGAAAGGTTCCTAGTGCTCCCATCACAACAGGGCACCAAGTCCCTAGCTATAGGCTCTTTTCCTTCTTTGTCCCCCCAGTGGAGGAGTGAATTACCAAACTCCATTAGATCTCCAGAGTCCCTTTCTCTAAGCTCTTTGGGGAACACCTACACGCCTCAGTATAGCTCTTCTCCCCTGTAGTCCCCAGTGATCGAGCGAGTTATCTAACCACTTCTGATCCACAAAGTCTCTTTCTACTTGTTAGAAATTTCCAAACCTAGCTCCTTTTGAACAGCTCAGCACTCGGTAGTTTGGTGCTACCAAGCGGAAAAACCTCTTTAGGAATGAGGCCGATTCAGAAGTGCTAAAAATTGCAGTTCCCCGAGTGCCCACTTGAGGCAGAAATAGAAACAGCGGGAACCACAAACACTATAACCCCCAATTTCTACCGCTTCCGAACCCATCCAGCAATTTACAACCAGGAGATAGATGAAACTGTATTTATTCACCACAGCCCAAACATGTTATCCGAATATCATGACTTCTGACCCCCAAAACTAAGACTCTAAAAGTGATCTCGCCCAGCTAATGCCTACAAACACTCTGCCAGCCATTGTGCGACCTCAGTCTGGCCACATCCACCTCTTTGAAAGAGTCTATAGCTGGCCGCTGAACCTCTATGAGTGCAATAAAAAATAACTCCTTTATTTGTATGCAGCTCTGGCTCTATAATAGGAAACAAATAAAGAAGCCCGGGCCAAGGCACACAACAGTCATCCAGCCAATCAGCAACAGGTCGTGTTTGCACACTCTGTCATCTGCTGGCTGCTCTCTCCCTCTTCAGTGTCCTTCCCTGTGAGGAATAAAGCCGCACTGTTTCAGCTGTGATCCATTCCGTATGAATAATAATTGAAGGTGTCACATTGAAGAGTGTAAAACCAACTTTCTAACAGAGTTTGTTCATTCTTCGTATTAAAAGAAAAATGCATATGTAAGATATGATGCACACAATCTTCTTACCTCGCACCACATTGTCTTATTACTGAGTGTTTGTGCAAGTTTTACATAAAACTTCTTACATAAAATCAAATTTAAAGCAGTTTTTAAAGCCAACAAATTTCTAATGTTGGAATAAAATCATGAGCGTTGAATTTCTAGTTGGGACACTCTTCTTTGACCTTGGTTGTTTGATGTTCGCATGTTTGATACGTTTTGCAATTACTGTAAAGTGATCATTAAACTCTTTCTGAACTGTTTTATACAAGTCATTCTCGAATCTCGACATTGAGTCGTGTCATTGAGAGTCAAGATCGAACAGGTTTGCTCTGACCAGCTCCAAACAGGAGGCTGCAAACCCTGAAAAACAATCACGGCTGGGGGGAGAAAGAGCACTAAACTGTGAAAAAAGGATGCTGAGAGAGTTAAGAATGCCTCTTTGACCCGTCCTCCCTTTTATATCATGATAGAGTAGAGAAGGAAAAAAGAGGGACAGAGATTGCTGTGGCTCTCGACATCCTTCGTCAGCTAACTGGCTAACCTCCGCCCAGAATGGAGCTTTGAATGTAATCGTAGTCTTGCAGTTGGTGACCCTGCAAGATCCTCTTTCTTTGTAAATTCTTTAGGCTGTGATCAAAAACTCTGTGACTCTGTGACACGCTGATGTGGGAGGGTACGAGGAGCTAGTCCTTTAAAAGTTTTTCCAAAGTCCTCTAAAGCTTAAAAGCATCGCACAGCTCAGTTGACACCTCCGTTACCCATTGTGTAGCACTTGAAGAGGCGACTTGTGTACCGCTTTAGGCACTGAGACCTCCTGGTATTTAATATGTGTTCCTCTATTTGATTAAAAAGTGTAATCCGACATGAAACAGATTAAAATACATTTGAGTAAAGAGTCATGACAGTTTTTATGTACAGCCTCTTTTGTCTACTGCTGTTTGAAATCCTTCAATAAAATGAAATATGACAAACCATGGTTCAAAAAATGATATTTAAAGGGATATTCTGGCGTAAAATTAATTTATGGTCAAACAGACCATAACACCAAGTTAGACACCCCCTTAAGAGATGAATGTTGCCGACCGTTTGCTTCTCTAGTTAAACCAACTTTAGTAATGACCGCACGATAGCAATACACAGCGGTCTGAGGAGCCATAAACTAACCTCAACCAAGAGACTAAACACAACTCACCTACTCTCTTCCAGCAGCCGCTTGTTTGTAGCGAGACCTAAGGCCAGTCCATCACAGACTGTGGCGGGGTGACGCAGCTCAAGGAAGAACATTTCTGATCATGTGGTCGTTACTCAAGTTGGTATAACTAGAGAAACAAGCGGTCGGCAACATTCATCTCTTGAGTGGGTGTCTAACTCGGTGTTACAGTGTGTTTGACTCTAACTTAATTTAACGCTGGAATATCCCTTTAAATGAAGGCTAGGTTGTTTTAAATTCCTATAACACTCAAGTAAAAGACACGCCATCATAAACAGCCTGACAATATGGAGGTTTTGCAGCTCCTCATTTGAGCACCAAGACCAATATTCCTCCAACCAAAACGCTCATTTCATCCTTCTTGTCTTTGTCTTTCGATGCGGTGCTCCTGTTTTTCTCCCTCTCATTAATTTCTGTTGTTTGCCTTCCTTTTTTTTCCTGTTGATGTTGCACACGGCTCCTCCTCTCTCAGATCAATGCCGTCTTGGGTCTGTGCTTCTGTATTTTGACATTTGGCTCCTGCTGAGAGATTAATTAGCTGTCTACCTCGGAGATTCATGTAGATGATGCCTCTTGACATCCCTCACTTTGTCTTGTCATCTCTTCCGCTCTCACTTTTTGCTTCCTTTCTTTCTTACCTACATTTTTGCCCTTTTCAGTCTCGGGTTTGTAACTCTTTCTGGTATTCTTGTGAGGTACTGTAACAAAGAAACTTCCAATTTCTGTCTAAATCCAATTAATTCCTCTTCAGTGTGTGTGCTGAGAAAACAAAATTTGATAGATGTCTCCCTGATGCACTTGAGGCAGGCCGTGTTATTGAGCGCTTTATCCGTATTCAAAGCATGAGCTCGCCCGTGGGCCTTTACATGCTGCATGTACAGTGATGTAAAGCAGAGGTCACCAGAGACAAAAGCTTAAGCCTTTGTTGCAGGAAGGATCAATTACAGTGCTGGAGGACAAGATCAGGCAGATTCAGATAGATTTGTAGAGCCGTTTTGACACTTTAGAGAAACATCCGAGCTTTGATTCTGGTCACATGTGCAAAGCGATTGAACACATTTTAAATAACGCTGTGTTTTCCCCCTCTTTTTTCCCCCTGAAATAGAAAGTACATGCTCAACCCCTTTGGGTGAAAGCACTTAGTACGCAAAAATACGGCTTTACATAATTTTGTGCTCTTGGAAAAACTAAGTGGCAGCAGTTCTTTGCTCTTTTCTCCATAACTAACAGCACTCTGTTTTAAACTTTCATGTGCTTCCAGAGCGAGTCCGCAGAAGAGTAAATGCTGTGGGAGGAGGTCTTGTCAGGCTGCGTTAACCGAGAGCTGCGGTAAGAGAGCAGACAGCAACACGGTTCGTCTGCTGGGCTGATGAGTTGCATATTTTACGCAATGTTTGGTTAACATTGCTTGAAGATGTTTTTAGAGTGTGTTCAAGCCCAACGGGATTTATTTAAATTCCTCACAAAGCCGTAAGAGGAAAATGAGAATTTAGATACAAAAACTACAATTTTTAAAGTAAGTCGAAACAGCAGCTCGATGGAGAGAAAAAGCTGCAGAAAGGTTATTCTCCTTCTGTCTATTTATAAAACAGGCTTTGTTGTGTTTTCTTTTTCGTGCTTTAAACCTGCAGTAAGAGGGGAAAAAAACAGTATGTTCGTGTATTTTTGCAACTTCTGAGTCATTCACTTTGCACGACCTGCACGAAGAAGGTTGAAATATTGATGTTCCTCTACATTTACAGTTTTATCACACTTTACAGTTTGCAGACACCTTGACAGTAGAGACTTCTTTGACATAAAAATTAAGATTTGAAGGACTTGGAAGTCAATACTGCAGAATAAAATGAATTAATGTAAGCCTCATGTGATGCATTCAGCACTATGTTATGGTCAGATTCACTACTTGAATATCAGCCTGGCTCATGAACCGTTCAGTGTGCAAATGTTTTTTAGTAAATGTGATCAAATGTGATCACTAACCATCATCGTTGGGCTTCATGACTCCTCTCTGTTGCTTGCTGCCCTGATTATCTCTGTCTTATTCTGTGTTCCAGTTGTACCCGGAATTTCTGAGTTCCGAGTCAGAAATTCATCTGGAACGCCCCCCTGAAGTTGGACGATCCTCGCCAACCCCGACTTGACAACAACGTCATAATCCAATATGGCAGTGCAGTTCACCAACAGTAAAGAGTAACAGTGAAAGCTCTCATAATGTTTTATTTATTAGCACTTCTGTTTTGTTTTAATGAAATTAAATAAGTGTTATATGTTGTACTGCCCAACATCCAACTGTGAACACAGTGCTTTGGTGTTTGTAAAAGTAAAATACGGTGTTATGCGTTTTGTAAAACTGGTATAGCTAACAACAACTAACAACAGCTGATCATTGTAAACAGCAGCTAACAACAGCTAACAGTAGGCTTCCATTTTGGTTTTTCCGACTTGTTAACAGGAACGCCGTAAACTCGGGTGTAACATCATTCCCAGCTCCGACTGAAAAGCAGCATTAGCTCTGGTTGCTAGCATAACCTGCTTAATTCCTGGTTCTTGAACTGTATGTGTGTATCATGAAAGATGTATCCTAAAAGCATCAGTATTAAAGTTGAGATAAAAATGATGTGTTTTTTTTTTCTGATGACCGAGTGAGCAACTTTTCTGCTCTAATATGTTCCAAATACACTCTTGTACAGGAGGTGCTTTTATTGTGTTAAATTTGCACGCAGGTTTCCAAACTCCTGTGTATGCATCATCCGATATAGACATTCAACCTTGTGTGATAAATCCAAATGATAACCATCCATTTTCAATCAAGCTGATCCCATTAGCGCAGAGTGCGATAAGTGCGGCTAAGCCCTGGTGTGATTGTGAGGATTTGAGCTTTGGCGAAAAAATAATTAGAGGTGATTACTGTGTAGTCACACACAGTAAAGGATGAGACATCCTTTACTTCAAGTCATAAGAGCAGACACTCTCCTTTTCTCTCTAAGAGAATAAGATGCAGCTTCACTGAGATTACTTTCATGTCCAATATTCCTTCCCTAACATCGTGGGCTGAAATGTGTTTATTGTTGCTCTCTTTGTTTTTGTGCTGTATTTGCACCGAGACAAGATGGGATAAAACAGCTCTTATTCCTATCTCCTCATGCCAGCTGTAATCGATTTTACACAACTTCTCCCTTTTTCTTGCTCTTTCTTTTTTCTCATTTTCATTTTCTAATCTCGTCACAGTACTTTGTTTTTTTCCAGCATTGCTCCCTGGTCTGTCTTTTTTTGTCAAGTTTAGATATCACGTAACAGCTCTTCAGCTCTTGAGCTTCTCTCTTCTCTCAACAGACAACATTAAGGTCATAAACCAGACCAAACCATTGAGAGGTAACTGTAAATTGGATGGTATATACATGACTTATATAAGGCTTAGAGAAAGAAGATTGGAATTGATCGATCATGGTAAAGATCGCCGTGTTATGTTATTGATCAGACTCCGGTCGCTCCTGCAGGGTTCAAGCTTTCATACAGATGTCCTTTCATATAAATTGCTGCACTTTTGTTAATTTTCTTTTTTACTCGTCATTCTGGTCAGTCAATACTTGAACACAGTATATGGACATGCACGTTGAAGCCACACTCAAAGAAACCCAACATCGTCTCTAAAGCTGTGAGAGATCCCTGTGAGAGCAATCGATACCAACCCACGGTTCAGCCTTAACATGCTCCCTCAGGACACAGCAGGGCAGACAAAAAGCGCTGGAATAAAGAGTGTAAATGCGAGAGAAAATGAAGTAATCTGAGTGGCCTTTTCATAACTACATCCTGAGAAACAGTGAAAATATCCCAGCGCTGTCGAACCCGAGAATTCTTGTAAATTTGTGTCCTACCACCAGGAAGAAAGGCCAGAGAAAGTCAGCGAGTGTGCATTATCCAAAGGCCACTGAGCACATTTAGTGAGTAAATGCCACGTGTAAATGGTTCTACCCAGCACCCCCGTACCTCCGCCATGCCATTTTACCTCGGAGGGAGGAGAGGAAATGAGCCTTTATTTCCCCTCAGGCCATCGGGAGCTGGAGATTGGTCACATGATAGCGTGATTGACAGCTAAGCAGGCTCGCCCCTCGATCTGCCGGCTTGATTGCCCAGGGGGTTGAAAGGTATTGATGTTAATAACTCAACTGGACATACATTATTGCCCAAATGTTTGCCGCTGACATTTACTCCTACTTGGATGCCTGTCTGCGAACTGCCAAAGACAATTTGGTTTTTGTAGAAGTCGAGACAACTCGGTTTATCACTGTACACTCTTGAGAAAATCAGGCATTAACTGAACCCATTTAAAGAAAAAAAACTGTGTTGAAAGGTAGAAGAAATGAGGTGGGTCTTACAGGGTTTTAAAGGAATCAATAAAGGTGGAGAAAGTTATTGTTGGTGACAAACTATCCTACAGTTTTGGGCAGACAGCTCAATAATTAACCGAATTTTCCTTTAGATTGAGGAAAGGAGGATTTGGTCAGAAATTTCAAGGGACCAGTTGAGTAGAAACAACCAGTCCTAAAAGTAGAATTTTTTGTAAAGTTGCAGTAAAGCTGCTGATGTTATGGTTGATGGGTGTATATCTATGCAGGTTGTCCACATCACACTTTATGGTACCGTTGAACTTTTAACCCTGTCTTCCAACATGCTCAGGTGAAATTAGAAAAACCAAAGTCCTGAAGTCACAGCTCAACTTTAGCCAACACTTTTGACCGACTTAGATTTCTAACATGCCAGAAATTCATCCAACTGTCCCTCAAGTACTTGTGTACTACATAGTACAAAAAAAAAAAAAAAAAAAAACGTGCAAAACAACAGATATGTGGCATGACTTTAAGTTAGTCATGCAACTCAAAACTCAGGTCAGAATCAGCTTTACTTCACACCAAGTTTTGCAAGATTATAGCAAATCCCAACAAATACCGACTAGATTTGTTTGCCAAATTTTTAATCGTAATGAAAAACCACACCACACTTTTGGCTGGACACTTGAATTAATGACCATTGAGGATCCAGTCCTGATCGAATATTGTTCACTGCTGACTAATGTATTGTTTCTAATGGTCAGAAACCTTGAAACCTCCATATTTTATCATTGTGATTTTTACATTTATTGGTGTAATTGATCTTCCTTTATACCTGTCAGATGGTTTTCTAATATATAACAGATGAAATGGTTTGTTAAAGAAAGTGTTTGTTTATATAAAAAAGATATATACTTTTTTTTCAATACCGTCAGGGTTTCTACCTGATGGCATTGGGATGTATGTAAGAGTGTTGCATTAAAATGTATGCATGCAGGTGTACGCAGCATTGACAGCTGTGATTATGTGAAGCAGAATTGCCTCTTTGCTGCATTTTACAATCTCTGTTCCAGGAAGATTGGATGCTGACCGCCAGCTGAAGTAGCTTAAAGAGTTAATTGCATTCACCAGTTGGGTGTGTTGAAGGCAATTGGCCGAGCTGTTTGCTGATACAGGCTAATTAGGGTCAGCTGATGTACTGTGGGCTGAGCTTGACTTCATAACCTGCTTGAACTAATGCGACACTCAATAATGGTGCAAAAACCCAGAACTTAATTGGTTTTGAATCATTTAAACTCTATTTTTAATGGAAAACATGATGGCAATAATAATAGTGGTTCTGAGTCCAGATTAAGGTCTGTTTTTAATCCTGAGGGCTTGAGGATTACGGCCATCCAGACCTGATTTTTAGCCTGTACCCTTTTTTTTCAGAGAGCTCTTCAGATTATCTATATATATTAATGATGTTGTTTTTTTCCCTGGACAATAAAATCCCTTCATTCTTGCAATTTTAGGGGGAACATTATTCTGAAATACGTGAACTATTTGCTTTCCTTTCCCCATTTTTGTTTACTTAAAGACTCGGCTTCTCAGAAAGGTCCTTTGTAAAGCCTTTTTCATTTTTGTGAATGACACCAGTGAGTTTGGTGATGTTCTTTGGGTGTTATTTAAAATGAGTTGCTGATATCAAATTCAAAATAAGCCTATATTTGCACTATTTGCTATTAAACTAGGCTTTAAATGTTTCAAACCATTAAAATCTGTTTTTATCAATATTTTAGACAGCAGCTCAACTTTCTCGGGACTGGGATTTTGCAGAAAGCTTTTTTTCTGTTTGCTTAGTTTTGTGTATTTTTGCAGAAAGAAAAATCTCAGGGTTAGGTTTGTTTGTGCAGGCAGCAGTGAAAACATTCAAATTACTGTGTCTACTGTGAAAAAGGGTGTACAAGCAGGCACCAGTATAAACGTAGACGGGCAAATTAGTGAAAAAACATGTAGCTTGGTGGGCAGATTCAGGATCAGGACAACAAAATATCCAAAGGCAAAAACAAAAACAAACTAAAGTCCACAACAACTAGGATGATCTTGAGAATAATCAGAGATATCATCAGGTTCATCCGGTGTGAGGCTAATGAGGGAAGGAGATAGAGGTTGGCTGGGAAGGTCAGGCTAATGCAAAGCTAATGAGATATGGGAACAGGTGTGTGGCTGGGGGAGGAGGGGGAACCTGAGGGCACCTGATGGAGACGGTGGACTAGAGCAGGAGTCTGTGAAACTCAGGGAAGTTTTGATCCTCTGCCATCAGATTTTATATAATTCTGTAAGAGCCAAAAAAATTAGCATGTTTTCTCACTAGCATCAGTATTTAGTTCATGGCCTCACTGTGCTGCAGAATAGCTATACTGTAGAGTCCTGAAGCGTTAAAGACCATAAGGTAGCATGAGTTTGTGGCTCTGTATTACAAATATGAACATGTTTTTGGGGTGATCTAGCAAAAACTGCAGGGCTTGACAGTGCGACTGTTTCACAAGTTAGTTTTAGGTTGGCTCTTCGACGGACATGTCCGGTGTCTTCTCACTCTCCATTACCAGGAATATCAACAGCAGCGCAGTTAAATATACTTGGCGTCCTCACTGTCAATGTCGGGTATTCAATAAGGGACCATCAATAAATTACCGATCGATGTTCTCAAAAATGGCTGTTTTCCTTTAATAGCTTCCATGCCATGTGACCAATTAACCTAACATTGATTTCAAATAATAGTACTAAGGTTGGACGATAAGACACACCTCTTATTTCCCTAATTTGTCCTCTAAAATATGTTTGTTTTAAATTTAAAGGCAAATTTTGAACATTTTCTTCAATAGCTTCCATTACATGTGACCAATTGACCTAAAATTGATTTCAAATAATAGTACTTAAGTTGACCACTAATACACACATCATTTGATCGATTTTCATTGTGCCCCTAAAGTTCTTTGAGTGCTCCTTACTTTTTAAACTTAAGAGCACATGTGCTCCTTCTGAAAAAAGTTAGTGTCAAGCCCTGAACTGTCATCAGAAGATCAGGAAAATGTCAAATAACATGAACTGTCTGTTAAAGAAACTCTCGCTTCTCGGCCTCTTCTGCCAACTCACTTCAATAGTTCACAAAGAAAGTTTGAGCCGCCGCTTTAAGCCAATACGAGACAAACTGATTCTTTTATCTGTTCAGATCTGGACCGGCGAGGCTCCAGATTCGAAACAAACATCAGTCAATCCCCGCTCTGTGTTTCACAGGCCAGTGACC